CTGTAGGAGGGGTCCCAGTAATAAATCCACCCCCATATCTAGATTCACAGCCTCCACAAACTAGTCAGTTGTATCCAGATTTACCCAAAGAAAACACAAATCAGTTTGACAATCATGAACCACTTTACCCTACTAAAAAGAAACAAAGGAAACAAAAAGAAGGGGATCATAGTATGGTTTTGCGGAGAAATGTGGCAAAATGGAGAAATGTTAAATCAGAATCAGAAGATGACTATGATGAGTCAAAAATAGGAGCATTTCCAATGATAGCTTTACCTGACCATCTGGAGCTAGAACCAATGACAGAGACAGTTCTGGACTACATACAGTTCTGCATCGGGAACGTGACTGTGGACAAAACTATCCGGGTTTTCCCCAATCAGAAACCCTGGATGACCAGCCAGGTCCAAACACTCCTCCGAGCCCGTGACGCTGCCTTCAGATCTGGGGACAGAGCACTGTACAGTGCTGCTCGAGCTGACCTGAAGAGAGGGATACGGAGTGCTAAGGCCACCCACAGGACGTCCATCGAGTCCAACCTGTCTACCAACAACACACGCGAGGTGTGGCGGGGGATACAAGCCACCACCAATTACAGAGGCTGCGCCACAACAACAGCAGACCCGAGTGCAACACTGGCGGAGGAACTAAACTGCTTCTTTGCCCGTTTTAAAGCTTCCCAGCTGCACCCACCTGCTACAGACCTGCTACAGCCCTGCCGTCCCCCGCCCCCCCTCCCGTGTGTTGTTGGTAGACAGGGTGGACTCAATGGACGTCCTGTGGGTGGCCGTAGCACTCCGTATCCCTCTCTTCAGGTCAGCTCGAGCAGCACTGTACAGTGCTGCTCGAGCTGACCTGAAGAGAGGGATACGGAGTGCTAAGGCCACCCCCAGGACGTCCATTGAGTCCAACCTGTCTCCCAACAACCCCCGCGAGGTGTGGCGGGGGATACAAGCCACCACCAATTACAGAGGCTGTGCCACAACAACAGCAGACCCGAGTGCAACACTGGCGGAGGGAATAAAATGCTTCTTTGCCCGTTTGGAAGCTTCCCAGCTGCCCTCACCTGCTACAGACCTGCCGTCCCCCGCCCCCCCTCCCGTGTGTTGTTGGTAGACAGGTTGGACTCGATCGATGTCCTGTGGGTGGCCTTAGCTCTCCGTAGCCCTCTCTTCAGGGCAGCTCGAGCAGCACTGTACAGTGCTGCTCGAGCTGCCCTGAAGAGAGGGCTACGGAGAGCTAAGGCCACCCACAGGCCGTCCATTGAGTCCACCCTGTCTACCAACAACACACGTGAGGTGTGGCGGGGGGGACAAGACACCACCAATTACAGAGGCTCCCCCACAACAGCAGCAGACCCGATTGCAACACTGGCGGAGGTAATAAACTTCTTCTTTGCCCGTTTTAAAGCTTCCCAGCTGCACTCCCCTGCTACAGCCCTGCTACAGCCCTGCTACAGCCCTGCCCCCCCCCCCCCCCCTCGCGTGTGTTGTTGGTAGACAGGGTGGACTCAATGGACGTCCTGGGGGTGGCCTTAGCACTCCGTATCCCTCTCTTCAGGTCAGCTCGAGCAGCACTGTACAGTGCTGCTCGAGCTGCCCTGAAGAGAGGGCTACGGAGAGCTAAGGCCACCCACAGGCCGTCCATTGAGTCCACCCTGTCTACCAACAACACACGCGAGGTGTGGCGGGGGAAACAAACCACCACCCATTACAGAGGCTGCGCCAGAACAACAGCAGACCCGAGTGCAACACTGGCGGAGGGACTAAACTGCTTCTTTGCCCGTTTGGAAGCTTCCCAGCTGAACTTACCTGCTACAGCCCTGCCCTCCCCCGCCCCACCTGCCCCCTGCACCACTCCACTCACTTTTCAGGAGCATGAGGTCAGACGGGTCCTCCTGGCAGTGAAACCGCGGAAGGCCGCTGGCCCAGATGGAGTACCTGGCAAGGTACTCAAAGCATGTGCCCACCAGCTTGCCCCGACATTCACCAGGATATTCAACCTATCCCTGGCCCAGGCAACCATCCCGCCCATCTTAAAATCAACCACAATAATCCCAGTGCCGAAGAAGGGCTCCATCTCCAGCCTGAATGACTACCGACCAGTGGCTCTAACACCGGTAATCATGAAGTGCTTTGAGAAACTAGTCCTCCGGCACATCAAGGACCACCTGCCTCCAGACCTCGATCCACACCAGTTCGCATATCGGGCAAACAGAGCCTCGGAAGACGCAATTGCCATCGCTCTCCACTCTGCCTTGAACCACCTGGAGCTTAACCAGAGCTACGTGAGGTTACTCTTTGTAGACTACAGCTCTGCATTCAATACAATAATCCCAGACAGACTCTGCAACAAACTGGGCAGCCTGGGCCTCTCACCCCTCACATGCACCTGGATAAAGGACTTTCTCACAAATCGTCCCCAGAATGTGAGACTGGGCCCCCACCTCTCCCCCACCCTCACACTGAATGTCGGCTCCCCACAGGGCTGTGTGCTGAGCCCCCTCCTGTACAGTCTCTACACCTACGACTGCAGTCCGGCCCATAGTGACAATCTAATCATCAAGTTTGCGGATGATACCACAGTGGTCGGACTAATCTCTGGAGGTGATGAGGCAGCCTATAGGGAGGAGATCCTGAAGCTGGCAGCCTGGTCTTCGGAGAACAACCTCTCTCTAAACACTGGGAAGACCAGGGAGATCATCATGGACTTCAGGAAGCACAGCACCGACCCAGCCCCCATTTACATTAACGGTGAGCCTGTGGAGAGGGTCCACACCTTCAGGTTTCTGGGTGTCCAAATCTCTGCCGACATCTCCTGGACTGAAAACATCACCTCTATCACCAAGAAGGCCCAGCAACGGTTACACTTCCTGAGAGTCCTCAGGAAGCAGAACTTCAACACCAACCTGATGACTTGAGGTTGGCATGGTGGAGAGCGGACGCTGGCATGCATGTTGCCGCTGCTTTCCGGCCGTTTGAGCTCATTCCCCTCCTTCTTAGTGTTTTCTCGGCTTTCACTCCATCACTACCGACTTGCTTTCATGGAATTGTGCTACACCTAATCGGTTCCATTGTCCTAATATATCCTGCTGTAACTCCAGCACTTTTGTTTGCAAGTGCTCGGGCTAA